TGGCGAGGTTGCTCTTGCCATTAAGCAACAGCAAAATAAACGCGCGGTTGGTGTTGATTTTATACCGGGTGAATTATTGAAGTATGGCGGTGGGGATTTGTATTCAGCGTTATGGGAACTTTTTGTCATTATGTGGGAAAAGAACAAGTCCCTAATACTTTTAAGGTATCCCTCATACGAGCCCTATATAAAGGCAAGGGTGACCGGTCAAACTGCAATTCTTACCGTGGCATTTCTCTACTTTCAGTGCCTGGAAAAGTCTTCGCCAGACTTCTTTTAAACCGCCTCAGGAAACTTTCTGAAAGGATTTTGCCGGAATCCCAGTTCGGCTTCCGACCTGACCGTGGTACCTGTGAGGCGATTTTCTCATTACGTCAACTACAGGAAAAAAGCAGAGAACAGGGTCGTAATATGTATCTCTGTTTTGTAGACCTTGAGAAGGCATTCGATAGTGTACCACGTGAAGCCCTCTGGATAGTGCTGCGGAAAATTGGATGCACGGAGAAGTTTGTGAGACTTCTGAGACTCCTGCATGATGGCATGCAGAGCTGCGTCGCTGTAAATGCTGATCAGTCAGAATTTTTTCCCGTTACCTGTGGAGTAAAACAAGGGTGTGTCCTTGCACCCACACTTTTCGCGTTATACTTTGCAGTTGTAGTCCAGGAAGTCTTAAAAACTACCCATGATGGAATTCGCATTCGTTTCCGCAACGATGGCAATCTTTTCAGCTTAGCTAGACTTAAGGCCCGTACGAAAGTGTCTTACGCACTTATTACAGAGATCGTCTACGCAGACGATTTATGTTTTGTGGCCGATTCCCCAGCTGGCCTGCAACAGCTTGTGACCACCTTTCATGAGTCGTGCCGTATTTTTGGTCTGAAGATAAGTGTTAAAAAGACGGAAGTGATATCTTTAGATATCTACGGTCAAGAGACACTGGCCGTCAAACTCGGTGATGATATACTTAAGCAGATCAATACATTTCGTTATTTGGGGAGCACGATAACATCAAAGTGTGACCTTGATGCTGAAATCAACAGTCGAATCGGTGCCGCGGCTGCGGTATTCGGTAAACTGGATCGCAAGGTCTTTGGCTCACATGACCTAAAGCTGGCTACCAAAATTGGTATTTATAAGGCGGTAGTGCTGCCTAACATACTGTACTCTTCTGAGTCATGGACAGTTTACCGCCGTCATATACGGACGCTGGATCGCTTCCACTTGCAATGTCTGCGCAAAATTCTCAACATCCGTTGGTCTGATCGCATTCGGAATACGGAAGTGCTACGTAGAGCCTATACTATGGGGATTGAAGCCTACCTTATGGGGCGACAACTCCGTTGGTGTGGACACTTATCGCGAATGTCAGATCAGCGTACGGCTAAGTGCATCTTTTTCTCTGAACTTGAGAAGGGCAAGCGTAAGCATGGCGGACAACTTCTCAGGTACAAAGATGTACTTAAGCGCCACATGACGAAGTGCGACATTGAGCCTTCAGAGTGGGAGCAAGCAGCCGCTCGACGACCGGAGTGGAGATCCTTGGTGAAAGCCAAGGTCAAAATGTTTGAGGAGAATCGATGCTCTGAATTGGACGCCCGACGTGATGAACTCAAAGCACGCCCACCTTGTGCGATTAACTATAATTTCTGTAATGGTGTGCTCACCTGCCCGCATTGCACGCGAACATTTGTAAATAAGATCGGCTACGTTAGCCATGCACGAGCACACCAACGACAAGATCGGAGCTGAAGAGGTCGCCGTGGCCGAAATCGGTCGAGGAGATTATTATTATTATTATTAGTCATCGTAGCCCTACTGTACAAGCACTTCAACACTTCGATATACCGACAGTCAACTTGGCACCGCTGAAGGGACTGCAGCACCACCCAAATTTCGACGGAATCAAAGGCTTTCTCATAGTCCACATACGCCAGACATAGTGGCAAATTGTACTCTTCGGACTTCTGTATAATTTGCCGAAGGGTATGTATGTGGTCTATGGTGCTAAAGCCCTTTCGGAAACCGGCTTGTTCGGGAGGCTGGAAGTCGTCAAGTCTGCGCGCAAGACGATTCGTAATGACTCTCGAAAACAGCACGTAGACGCGGCTCAGAAGGGAAATCGGTCTGTAGTTCTTCAAGAGAGCGTTGTCACCTTTCTTGAAGAACAAGACCACCGCATTTCTGCTCCACGCCTCCGGTGTAATGCCACCATGGAGGACGGAATTAAAGAGCCTCTGAAGGACTTCAAGTACCGGTTTTCCACCCGCTTTCAGAAGCTCCGCTGTAATTCCATCCTCGCCTGGGGCCTTACCGTTTTTAAGGTGCTGGAGAGCCATTCTAATCTCGCTCAGACTGACGTCCGGGATATCTTCGGAATAGTGTCGGATGAGACTCGCTCTTGGATCGTTACTCACACTTGCGTGTGGCTCCAACGATGACGTGTACAACTGCCCATAGAACCTCTCAATCTCACTCAAAATCTCAGGTGTCCCGGAAACGATGCTGCCACACTCTGTCTTCAGCTTTGACAGTTGGCTCTTTCTGGCAGACAGATCTCTGGCAAAGACTTTGGAGCCTTGATTCCGCTCGATCGCTTCTTCAATACGAGCTGTATTGAAGTTGCGTAAGTCCCGCCGCATGCATTTGGAGATCTGTCTGTTCAGATGCCTGTATGCTGTCAAGTCTGTTGAAGAATGTAGCTTCATCTCCCGTCTAACAGCCATGAGATTAAGAGTGTGATCGGAGAGTTTTGTGTTCTTCTGCGGCGGGTCTTGCAGAACTTAGCTCCGACCGCATGGACAGTTTCCACGAGCTTGTCATTCATATCGTCCACTTCATTGCAGTCTTCTAGGCACTGAAAACGGATTTGTAACTCGAGCTGAAAGGTTTCGGGACTTTGGATTAGAGCACGAGGGGGACGGAGCGTTGACTTCATTAGACGAGACCTCTCCAACTTAACGTTTAGGTTCAGTGTGCCTCTAACCATTCGGTGATCGCTACCAGTTTTCACTCTCGCGATCACGGAGACATCATTGAACAGTTGTCGTCTGGTCGTCATAATGAAGTCAATCTCATTTTTTGTCGAACCGTCGGGGCTCGACCAGGTCCACTTCCTGTGGGGCCGCTTCTGGAAGAAAGAGTTCATTATAAAGAGTCCCTCTTTCTCCATGAAGTCGGCCAGCTGCTGGCCCCTTGGGTTCCTTTGCCCTATTCCAAATTTCCCTACTTTCAGCTCACCGTTCTCTCTTGTGCCTAGTTTTGCATTAAAGTCTCCCATTAACACCGTATATTGGGTTTTGGAGGAATGCATGGCTCTAGAGATATCCTCATACATTTCCTCCACCTCCTCATCGGGGTGTGCCGAGGTTGGTGCGTATACCTGTATGACCTTCAGCGAATACCGTTTGGTGATTCTGAGTATAAGGTACGCAACCCTCGTCGACACACTCCCGATCTTTACAACGTTGTTAACGAGAGACTTGTGGACGATAAATCCGACACATCCTTGGGACAGATGGTCGCCCTCCCGGTGATAGAGCAAGTTGCCGGATTCGAGGATTACCGTGTCCTCCCCCTCTCTTCGGACTTCGGATAATCCTATAATATGCCAGCGCAACTTGTCCATCTCTTCTTCCAGCTCCACGATCTTCTCGTCAGTCCTCAGGGTGCGTGCGTTGTACGTTGCCAGGTCGAGTCGTCTAAGGTGGCAACCGAACCTCCACCGGAGATTCTTAGCACCCCCTGCCCCGCCGTTACCATGGTCGCCACCGTAGCCAGGAATAGCGGGGCCGCCGGGGACTGGGGGCCGTTTCTTTGTTACTGTCATTCATAGGGGGTATTTGCCATAGTTGCCACGCTTGGCGAGCGGGTTGGCAACCGCAGTTTTTTTTTATTGTTAGTTTGTTGTTATCAAGAAGATGCTGCTCCCCATCTCCTGCCTGTTTCCCTTTGTCACCTTTTACGACACCCACGGGAGGATATGGGGTAGTAGATATTCTTGACCGCCACTACACGGCAAGAAAATCTATAAGCCAATATCAAAATCATTTTTTTTTTCCTTAAACCTTTAATTTTTTTAATTTTTTTTTTAATTATGAGTTTTGCACCCATCACTAGATTCTCTGCACAAACCAAAGGTAGACTGGTAGAGAATGCCTTTAGGCATTAAGTCCGCCGTTTTGTACATTTCTTGTATGTGTGTAAATAAAGCTTAAATAAATAAATTCCTTGGGTGTCGTATGAAACGACAAAGGAAAACTATACAAGGAAAGGAGCAGTACCATCTTCCTGGTAAACAACTGAAAGAAAATTATTAAAAAATGTGATATCCAATCCGTCTTCAAAGAGTGGCAACTGTGGCTAATATCTAGCCTATGAAAAAGTGTAAAGGGAAGGCCTACGTGCAACACTGGCCTGTTGATGGGTTGCAATGCATTAATGAAAAATATACGACAGGCTACACAGAATGGTTTGCGAAAAAGTTTTTTGTATAAGACACTGGCCAGGCACAATTTATTTTGAAAATACAATCATTAACAAGTAAAAATACGAAAGATCCAATTTCGAATTTCCCTCCATATTTTCCCAGCTTAATTGAAATATCGTAATTCATTGAAAAATGAATCTACGTCGGAAATATTTTCACGATGTGAGTTTTTACGACTTCAAATATCGCATAAAACCGGACTATATTCTATAGCAACCGTATAGTGCGGGTATAACAAATTCCAACACGGTAGAATAACTTTGAGAATTGAAGAAATAAAGTCGTCACCCATTGACGGCTGTTACGAAAAAGTGTATCGAGTGAGTTCTATGAAAATAATTTATAATAAAAACTTTAACCGTAGACCTTTTTTGTTAGTTTCGCATAACTTTCTGAGTGGTGGTTATGATTTTTTACAATCTGCTTGTACTCAAATAAATATTCGCAACGACTTGACATATTAATACACCTGATGATGCATTAATATTATATTGTTTAAAAATGTTTGAAATAGGAATGCCTGCGGTGCATGGAAGCGTCAAATCATCGAAGTCCGTAGCGTTCACATCTCAAGACGTAGGATTAGATGAGCATTCAGATGCTTCTGGACTATTTGTTGAATCGCCACTAGACAAAGACGGTACTTGTTATAATAGATATTTTTATAATTATAATTAGTAATTTATAGCGCTTTGGGCTGTACTTAGATATGTGCATGTGTCACTCAGGAACAGGACATTTTCAGGGTTATTTTGCAATAACCGGCCAATAATACGGTTCAGAATAAGTAATATAGGCAAATGATGAAGAAAAATTAATTGAAAAAAATCTCTAAATATTCTGTCCTTTTTATCTTTTAAATTCAAAATTCGTGGTAATGCATTATTTTAACTGATTTTACTGTGCACGCACACTTTCGTAAGGGTCGATTGGTAGGCAATATAGTATCATCATTATTTATATATTTGAAGTTAAGTTTAAAATATGGCTACTCTTTGAATAATAACCCTGTAGATATATATTCATTCATAACCTATTGATCCAATGTACAACAATACTTTCGCATCTCTATCCTTTACTTTGAATTTTGACCTTGAGGGATATCCTGCTATGAAACATTAACTAAATCACAAGCACACTGCTTATCTTAGGCTAAACTAATACTCATTAATATAATGAAACGAAGCTTCAGCATCTAAGTTTTTTTTTCAATATTATACTAATTACTGGAGCGGTGGTATCCTTGGACACGATTCAGACTTTTTTCAAGTCTAAAATTACCGCCCAATATCTTAAGAACTTGACTGCGATGGAACCGAATAATTTACTGAGTGACATGTGCCTGATACTACATACTCTCAAGTGTAAGAATTATTTTCACAGAACCTACCGCTACTTCCCTAACTCTCACAGAATACCAACGTTAATGGCAGTTTAACGCTGCTGTGTTTCATATGGGGAGTGGTAGAGAACCGGTGGCCCTTTTTACTGGAAACGAGGCATTCTATCTTGGTCCATAAGGGTGACAACGCATTAAAAACACGTTTAAAGAATATCCGAGTATAGGTAACATTCCGCGAGAAGACTTCCTCCTTCCCCTAATAATGATAAAACGTTAATAATTTAAGTTAAAAGGAAGAACAAGTTGGGGACTAAGGTCCAACGCAGTGATACATCTGACTCAGTCATTAGATTCGCCATTAACGCGCTTGAAAGGTGATTAAGAAGTATGCAGTCTTAGCAGGTGGGTTTGGCAACCATGGTTATTTTATTGTTCTCTTCTGTTCTCATGCAGAAGCTGCCTGCAGCCCAACTCCTGGCTCAATTCCTCTCTGCTGCTTCTTAGGATAACCACTGGGTGATAATGAGTAATGGATTTTCTTGCGCCGCCACTACAGGGCAATTAAAGTAATTCGTTCGGCATTCTTGTTATGGCCCATTAGGAGCCCACCGCTAAATATAGACCTCCCCTATAGATTGCTTCATAGGAGGGATATTTGCTATAGTTGCCACGCCTGGCATACGGTTGGCAAACTCAATTTTTTATTGTTATTAAGAAGATTTTTTTTATAGGAGAATGCGGCTCACCTGATGGTAAGTGACTACCGCCACCCATGAACAACTGCAACACCAGGGGAACCAGGGGAATTGCAGATGCGTTGCCGGCCTTTATTAAGAAGATGTTGCTGTACATCTCCTGGTTTGCTGCCCTCTGTCTACTCTTACTACATCCACGGGACGATATAGAGTAGTGGATATTCTTACACCCCACTACACATTTACTTAAGTGGTAATTTTAATAAATTAATCTTTCTTTGCAGAAGTACATATGAAAACCGGTCAGTCTATTAGTACAAAACTGTATCCGCATTTAAATTTTACCATGGATGCTCATGATTCTGATATTTGGCTTGCTTTCCTCATTGATGCCGGGGTGCTCCATGCAAGTGAAATAGTCATAGAACCGTGTAAGTTAAAAAAATAACTATAGATATAGATGTAATCTAATATTACAGAGATATTTCATACATATATCATTGATCATTATAATCTAATATATAAAAAATTATCTTTGTTTGTTCGTACTTTATGCGCTACCATACCGTTCATCTGATAGCGCTAAAACTTTGTCGACATATTGCTTGCTCTTTCGCGAAGGTTATAGGCATAGTTAAACCTGGTAGGTGGCGCTGTTGTTGAATCCAGATATCACCCGTGCGAAGCCGAGGCTAATCGCTAGTTTTTTTTTATAGGATAGGGTGACAAACGACCACACAGCCCACCTGATGGTAAGTGGTTGCTATGACCCATAAACATCTACATTTATCCTCAATAAGGAATCAAAATGCAAATGTGTTGTCACCTGTGAGGACTAAGATGGAATGCCTCTTTTCCAGTAAAATAGGTCTCCGGTTCTCTACACTCACCATACGAAACACAGCAGCATTAAGCTGCTATTTTACGCTGGTATTCTGTGAGAGCGTGGTCCTTTCCCGGTTGAGCCGACCCATTCGTGTTACAACTATACTACTAATATAGCTGCACCATGGCTCTACCACGTATAAAATGTATGATATATATGTATAATATATATATTGTATTGTTGAGCCAATATGTAACGTCACACAATTAATTTATATCACATCACACATTGGCACATGACATTATTTTATTTAGAATTTTTCGCAACTTATTTTACTTTATTAAAGCGTAGGTTACAATATTACATTTGTAAAAAATTTGCAATAATAAATGAAAATAATGAAGTATATAGGTTCGCTTCTTGAATTTTTTGAAAAAGATCAGAACCCCGACCTGTATTGACATTCTTTAAAAAATTAAAAATCAATAAGCCGCGATAATGAGGCCATTCAACACTTTTTCTGTCACCATTGCGATGACAGAAAACTTTCCAAAAAAACTGGCGTCAATTTGGAATAACGTGAAATATTTGACAGATAAAGTGTAAGTTGAATTGCTAGAAAATTCTAAAAATTCAATAATGTTTCTTTCTGAAATATTATATTTTGTATTTAATTATATTGTAAATGGATAAACAGAAACTATGGTTAATCCTAAAAACAGTAAAAAAAAAATTAAAGCGCGCCACTGAGACAATGTTTTGTGTGTATACATTATTCATACACTAGACACCGAAAAGATTTTAATTAAAACGCGACTTTTCAATGATAATAACGCTGTGTGACCACCTGCGTGGCAAATAAGTTCATCTCATCTCCTTCCCTATTGGATTACACAGAGCGGACGTATCCACAGTCATTCAACTATAGATTTTTGCCATTTTCCTAGTTTTATTACCTCAGACATAATTTCCGGTATAATTGTTTTTATAATATATTTTTTCTCTAAAAGTGAAACTGTAAGTAATTAATCTATCAGATACCAGGAGACTAGGAATGCAAGTGTAATACAAAAGTGTCTTACTGCATCTGAACAGAGTGAAGATATACTGGTGAGTGAGATAGCACTCTTACCACAGAATAAATAATAATTAAAAGAATATTGCTCTTCGTCATAGTTGTGTATCGCCAGCAACGCAAAATCAAGAATTTGCATTCAGAAAATCCCAAAATTAGGGGCTATTTAGGTGCTAATTAGGTGCCAAGTTTAAAAATTAGGTGCTCTAAAATTTTCAACGCAACGAACTGTTGAAATTTGCGTTGCAATGAAGTTATTAGATATACGATAAATATTTATAGCAAGGAATTAAGTGCTAATTAGGTGCTGCAAGTATAGCCTATAACAAGGCGCCCCTAATAAAAATAAAGTCGTTATTCAGAATATAGCAGATGCAAAATTCAGGTTTTCTGAAAATCAAAATAGAATCAAAATTGCTTTTAGAAAAAGCCCAAATTAGGGGCTTTTTAGGTGCTAATTAGGTACGAAGTTTAAAAATAAGTTGCTCTAAATTATTTTTAAACTTCGTACCATTTTTTTCACCACAACCAACTCACACCACAGGAATATTGACATAGTTACTTCTGCAATGGCTTCGGCGCTGCGGGGAGTGCAGCCCCCGCCCGCAGTAGCAAAACGCAGGCATCCGTGCAAGCCGTAGCGGCTGAGGCTGGTCGCCGAAGGCGACCAATAAGCCGAAGCTACGGAGGTGAGCGGCTGCACTCCCCGCAGCGCCAAAGCCATTGCAGAAGTAACTATGTCAATATTCCTGTGGTGTGAGTTGGTTGTGGTGAAAATTTTAGAGCAGCTAATTTTTAAACTTGGTGCCTAATTAGCACCTAAAAAGCCCCTAATTTGGACTTTTTCTAAAAGCAATTTTGATTCTATTTTGATTTTCAGAAAACCTGAATTTTGCATCTGCTATGTTCTGAATAACGACTTTATTTTTATTAGGGGCGCCTTGTTATTGCCTATACTTGCAGCACCTAATTAGCACTCAATTCCTTGCTATTAATATTTGTCGTATATCTAATAACGTCATTGCGTTGATAGCGATACGTTTTGCCAGCAACGCAAATTTCAATCGTTCGTTGCGGTGAAAATTTTAGAGCAACTAATTTTTAAACTTGGTACTTAATTAGCACCTTAAAAGCCCCTAATTTGCGCTTTTTCTAAAAGTATTTTTGATTCTGTTCTGATTTTCAAAAAAACTGAAATTTGCATCTGCTTTGTTCCTGCTTTTTTGTTGTTTGCTTTGTTGTTGTTTGTTGATGTAAATTTCAATGGTTCGTTGCGGTGAAAATTTTAGAGCACCTAATTTTTAAACTTGGCACCTAATTAGCACCTAAAAAGCCCCTAATTTTGGATTTTTCTTAATGCAAATTCCCGACTTTGCGTTGCTGGCGAGACACAACTCTTCGTCATCACCGGATTTATCGGAAGACAAAAATATAACTATGAGACCTCAGAAGCGGAAGCAAGGCGATAATATGGAGTTTCTTATGCAAAAACGACTTATGCGGTAACGGACGAAAAAAAACTGTCTGTTTTATAAAATCGGTGGATTTTTTCTGTAGTTACTTAATAAATACCCTAGTTAGCCGGTTAAGAAATAATTATTTATACTTATTTTGACGATTTACTTTATTTTAAATCCGCATTGTGCCTCCCATAGAAATCTTTCCGATTTCTCTTGCATCCTACGTGTCAAAACCTTCGAGTAAACTTTACTTGCTAAACTGGTCAAGCTGATCGCCCGATAGCACCCGCAGTCAAAATGTGAACCTTTACCTTTATATAAAGGCACAATGACCGCGGATCGCCAAACATCCGGGGCATGCCCCGTCCGCCAGCACAAATTGCACAGCATATGAAAGCTGTCCCAAACGCGAGGCCCACCATACTTGACCATTTCAGCAGTAACTCTGTCTAGTCCCGCAGCCTTACCACATTTCAAACTTCGAATCGCACGTTCAATCTCTTTCATACTGATGACCTCAGTGTCATCGAGGTCCGGGTCTGGCGTACCAGTCACGGCGTCATCCCCGGATCCCTCACTAAGATCATCACACGCATACATTTCTCTATAAAATTCGCTCCATCGCTGCATGACGTCCGATTTTTCTGAGAGGACGTCATTAGTTCTCGAAAGCACTTTGTTCATTCTTAAGGCCGTCGCACCACTTCGGGTCCTTCCAACCTGTTTCCAGAAGAGTTTGGAGTTCTCCTTAAAGTTGTGCGACAACCTTTCGTCCGCTTCCATTCTACACCTTTCACGCACTTCCTCAATCAATGCTTTCGTGTGAACTTTCTGCAGCCTATATCTTTCTTTCATCTTCTCTCTCATATCCTTATCATTACTAAATTCCAAGTAGTCTAACCATGCTTTCATCTTCTTCTTTACAGCTTCTTTCACTTCATCATTCCACCATGCATCTCTTCTTTTACTACTGCCTCTTTTTATTGTTCCACACACTTCTTCCGCTGCACTTAACATTCCATCCCTAAGGTTCTGCCATGTTCTTTCTACGCATTCTTATCTGCCATCGATGGTGTCAAGCTTTTCGGCTACCCTCGCATGATATTTGTCCCTAGTATCCGCTTCCTGAAGCTTCCAGCTTCGGATGCGACAGACCGACTGTGGTTCTGTTACTGCCGTCCGGTAGCGCCAACCCGCGAACAGACCCCTAAATCTAGTAATTACTAGATAGTGATCCGTTCCCAGGTCAGCACCCCTTTACACTCGCGTATCCATCACCTGTTTTCGCAGTCGGTCATCCACCAGGAACAAATCGATCATACTTCTCTCATTCTTTCGTTCTCTAGTATACATATGGATTTTCTTGTGATTAAACATAGTGTTTGTCACAAGAAGACCCTTTTCCTTGCATACCGCCAGTATAAGCTTGCCAGCATCATTAACCCTTTTATCGCCAAACTTTCCAAGTACCGACTCGTACCCTGGTCGAGCGGTACCAACCCATCCATTCAAATCACCACATACAACAATTCTTTCGTTTCCCCTAGCCAAATCTAGAACTTCTCTTACATTCTCCCAAAACTCCTCCAGCTCAGCCCTGGACGACGAAGCTACCGGCGCATAAACAGCCAAAAGGAGTAACTTCGTCAGTCCCAATTTAAAGCGAACCCAGAGAAGTCTTGAGTTCACAACCTTATATTTAGTCATAACATCGACCAACCGAGAAGACAGCAGCACCCCCACTCCCTGGCAGGCGTTCTCGCTCTCCGGGACTCCGGATCATAGAGATAACGCCCCGCCAGGGAGCTCTTCAGTACCACTGCCCTTCCGTTTGGTCTCCGACATACACACGACATCTAATTCTCTTTCTTTCATTATTTCGATCAACTCATTCACCTTATCTCTCATGCCTCCTCTAACATTCCACGTGCCAACTCTGCACTCTGTCCTCCAACTTCCGCCGTGTCGGGCTGTGCGTGACGGGTGGCGGTCCCCATCGCCGCTTTGCGCGCTGCATTCCACAGCAACGGGGACGAGCTAGTGTGCGTCGCCTTGGGGGGACGCCCTAACCCTCGTTGGCATGGGTGCGCAGCTATGTAGAATTGCAGCTCTGAAAAGGGCTGCCAGGGGTCGCGACGAGCACGCTTCTACAATGACCCCCTCTTGAGAAAGCATTTGATGAGGTTGTAAGGAAGAAAATGTGGGAACTGTTGCCGGGGTATGGTGTGGATGGTCGATTGCTAAGGGCTGTGCAGTCTCTTTACTGTGACTGTAAAGCCTGTGTGCGGGTAGGGCATGACCTGTCACCCATGTTTAGCATCCAAACGGGCGTAAAACAGGGTTGTGTCATGTCTTCCTGGCTGTTCATACTGTATCTCGACAGCTGTTTACAGAAGCTGAAAGATAGCTGTTTGGGTGTGAAATTGGGTGACATAAAAGTAAATTGTCTGCTGTATGCTGATGATGCAGTGCTTATTGCACCATCAGAGGCAGAACTGAAGGCATTAGTCACGTGTATGAAAGAGGAATGTGAAATTAAAGGTCTCCGTTTGAATGCTAATAAAACTAAGGTTCTGGTATTTGAAAGGGACGAAGAGAGAACGAAGTGTGAAATATGGGTAAATCAGGAATGTCTAGAACAGGTAAATGAAATTGTATACTTGGGGAGTGCTTTTAGCCGGGATGGAAGATGTGATTTAGATGTGGACAGGCGTGTCGCTGCCGGGAACAAAGTCAATGGTGCCCTGACTGCGTTAGTCAAAAGGCAAGGCGTAGTGAAGAGTGCACGCCTTGCAATACATAACGCAGTGTTGGTACCGACTTTGTTATATGGCAGCGAAACCTGGGTATGCCAGAAGAAGCATAAAAGCAAGTTGAATGCAGTGGAGATGCGATCTCTTCATAAAATGTGCGGCGTTACCATGGCCGACCGAAAGCGAAACGAAGAGATTCGCAATATGGCAGGTTTGAAAAATGACCTTATCACAAAAATTGATAAGGGCGTGCTTCGGTGGTTTGGGCACGTTGAGCGAGTGAGTGAAGACCGAATGGTGAAGAAAATATATAGCGCGAAAGTTAATATTAAAAGGTGTCGAGGTAGACCGAGACTAACTTTCGAAGACCATGTGAGCAAATTGCTCGAAGAGGGTAGGGTCAAGAGTACTCGGATACCTAGACGTGCATGTATGAAGAAGATAATGAATCTGAAAGAAGCGAAAGAGGTATGTAAGGATCGTGACACTTGGCGATCTGTTCTCTCTGGCTACCCCGTCAGGGATTGTGCGTGAAGATAAGTAAGTATTTTAACTTTTATTTTATGACTTGAGCTGTGTTGACTGATATTTCATTAGATTAAGGCGGTGTTGCTTGCGGAAATGTTAGGGAATAAGGTATTAAATCTAGACTATCCATCTTAGTATGTAATCAGAGCAAGAAAGGAACAAGTATACTAGGTACTCTCTCACGACAGTCCATGGGCCATAACATCCACTTACAGGTCAGGTCGGATGTACCTGCCGTGTGATCAGTTTGATCATTTATCTTGTATAGATATATATTTTAATGAACATAGTTACTTCGAATGGCTAAACGTTCAATTAAATGTGTAACATAAACCCTTAACTAATTAAACGGTAACATTACATAACAACTGTTTACAGCTGATTCAACAATTCATCACGACACCAAGGGTGATGAGTTAGAGTTTATAGTAAAACAGATAGAACATCATGAGGTAAATGTTTTTGATTAAATACAACCAAACCCATAATACGAAACTTTAAAACTTAAACGCTTTTTATGTCAACGACAGGTTCCTTCAGAATCGACTACAACTACCATAAGAGACGATTATGAAGATATACACCGCAAAATCCCTGGCTTGTTCTGGGACACAGTAAGCGACCAGTTTATATTTTAGAGTATTATAAACAATAAAACGTATCAAATTACTTTTCCTCGATTAGATTAGTAACTACCGTCCGTTCCTCTTAAGCTTTAGCATAAGGACAATTTTACAATGATACTTTAAGCTTTCTAGGTGATAGGACTTACTTTTTACTAAGGAGTCCGTCTGGGTAGTGGTAGTAACGTTTTCCGTTCTTAAAGGTATTAACAACCAGTATAATTACTACATTTTAGTCCTTAGAGGTGAAAACGCATCTGTAAACTTCTTTACTTGAAATGGGTTGCAGGTGTCTATGGACTGCAGCCGACGTACTACGTAAGTACATTTCACTTCAGGTGTATAAAAAAAAGCTTGAATGGTATATATTTTTAATTAAATATTAAAAATATATAAGAATAAAATCTACAAAAAAGCGATGCGAAATGCTCAAATAACTTTGTTCAAATGATGCTAGAGATAATTGCTCAGCAGATATACTAAGCGGCGCTCTCAACTGGACATTGATCTGTGCTATCATTCAATTTTGATGATTACCTCCAGTAAAATGTAGCGATATTATACCTATACTCTTACTCTTTAATCGCTAGGACTTTGTATGTTGACTTTTCGTCAGATATGGTAATAGAATCTCAGATAAAACTATAACTTTTATTTTTTCATTTGTGTATATCTACCTTCTATTATGAATTAAATTTAAGGACTTAGTAGAATAATCGGGAAATATACCCAATTGCTCAATTTGATCAGTGACTTTAAAACTGGCTAGGAAATAGCTTCACTAAAGACTGGGAGATGTCTGCACTAAAACATCAATAAGGAGAGAACGTTTTTATAGGTAGCAATTCTAAGCCCAACTTTACAATATTTTGTTTTAGTTATGTGTATTGTCTGATTAAATGAACTAACCGTCGATATCAATATTTTGTACAAAAACACAAATGCTTGGTTTTCGGGTGTGGTTGTGTTGCGTTGGATGCCGTGCCTCAACTGCATCAAAGAGCACTGCATGCATAGTTGGGGCCAGAGTGAAATATTCAGAGCGTCGATGTAGCAAGACGTTTGATACTACAATCGCTAATTTGGGTGCAAAACGTGGCAATTACGATAAAAACTCACTGCTTTAAGAATACGCAAAAACAAACAAAAAAAGACAAAACAATCACTCAAAATAGGATTAAACTTTACTACTAATCATTCGCCGTGTAGTGACTGCGTTAAGAGAATTCACTACCCCTTATTATCATCCCGTGGGTGTCGTAAGAGGCGACAGAGGCGGATATGATTCAGAAGATGTGCAGCAAAATCAGCAAAGCAGCAAATCCCGGTAGCAAATCCGTCTACCAAGCATGGCTACGAAGGCGACGACGAAATCCACCTATATTAGAAGCCTATGTTCTGCGTGGAGTTTTGATAGGCTCTAGGTAATGATTATTATGATAGTAAACCATGTGCAAAACTTTCAAAAAGATATAAAGACAATACTTTGTCAATAGAAAAAAAAAGTTACCTCCGTTTTCGGTCATTTTAGTGTTGTGAATAGGGATTCTAGGAATTAAAAATAATGTACAATCAATAACAACTGATTGTGTGCTGTCACTAAGGATTTTTTAAATTTTGCTATATGCCATTTATGAGAATAAAAATAATCTTTGACGCTTCTGCCCGTCGCTCTTCTGGGTATTTTTCGACTGGCATAAATAAGGTGGTTATTCCACTAGATTAATTTAAGGTTACTTAATTTAATTTTATCTGTAACGATTCATCTTAAATCCAGATAACAATGGATAATCCTGAAGTTGCATTCAAAAAAATGAAGAAGATAATCCACAAGATAATAAAAACACAACAGAACCTCAAGCCAATGTTTGATATAGATTTTGCGAATTTGGATCATTACACTACAGTTCAAAACAGGTTAAATAATATATGTAGACAAATAGCTCCACAGAAACTTTTTTTGTGAAATAATAATAAAATAAAATTTAATAAAATTGTATTGTTTTATTTTGCGGCCTGTAAAGGAGAAATTTATTAATACATAAGTAATACACTATAATGTACACTGACATAAAATAGTCTAAGTTAAAGATTAGTAGTGAGACTGAACTTATTTACTTTTCACTTCAAATATGTATTATAGTTATTTTATTTCACAATGAAGGTTTTACTTTGGTTGTTGTTGTGCTGTGCACATACACATTGTGTTAGTGTGCGTAGGCCTCGGGAGCGCTCAGTCACGATCGCGAGTCGAACGAATCACAGTTACACACACAACCGCGCCTGTTGGTACACGTCACTACTACAATCAAGGAGAAACCTTCAGTATGAAATAGAATAGCTATTACCTTAGCACTTTATATTAACAAGTCTCACACAATTATCATTTGAACACCATGGTGTCCAGCATTGCTCCTAGATTCTGTACAATATTGTTTGACATAAGTACATCAACTTTCTCCTCTAAATGCCTCTTGGGATCCTGTTTACCAACATTCTTGATAGCAAGTTGTTCAGGAGTCATCTTCTCTTCGTCTTCCAAAGCTTTGTTATAGTTTTTGGCTAGCTCCAACATCTCCGTTACAGTAGTCTCATTGACAGCACAGTGCTCTTTGTAGTCTAATAAAGTGAGACCATCCATCCATGATTTTTTGTGGAGATTTAACAACATTTTTTGTTCCAACTCATTTTTTCTGTAATTTATGCTAATTGAGTAGTAATGGCGATTGAGGCCGTGAATAAGAGCTTGTACTGAGGGTTTCTGCAGGTGTCCCAAATTTGAGGTGGTTTGTCTTGGCTCCTGCCCAAGTACCATCATGTTTGGATTGATAAGACGGAATGCATCAATGACCACTTTGCCTTTCACAGACTGTATGGGGTCAACAACAACAGCTACTGCACGTTCCGAGAGTGCTTCAAATGACTGCTGAGTATTAATATCTACTCCTGATAACCAGCAACCAAAGCCAGGATGTGAATGATACCTGCAACAAACAGTTTTAAGATTTATATTAGAAGCTTAAAACAAATACTTTCAACGTGTTCAAAGCCGGTGCACACCAAAAGCACAAAGTAAGGTGTACATTAGGATAATAGTTTATAATTTCTTTCAAATCCGGGACACACAAACAGTGAAAATATTACATAGTTACTTAAATCTTAAGTTTAAATTTATACACCAGTAAAGTCCACAATTAAAATTATGAAATGAAACATACTGTTTAAGTACTAAATATTGAAATTAATCTTAATCTTTAGTACCTAAACAGTACATGTATTAATTATATGTAGTGTAGTATATATTATGGTATAGTAGACATATTATATTATAATATTATGAAACTGTATAGAAGATGTTTAACCGCCTATTTTCCATGTAGAGCATGTGGAAACACAAGCAGTGTGAATTATTGCATTGTTTCTTAAGCATATCAATTTGTATCACAACTCGCACATTTTCACATATTGAAACACGCATTTTGTATCCTCCCACCATAAGTGGTAAATTTTATACTTAAAAGACATAATAGTGACATAGTGAAACGTGTATGGAAACAAAATAGGCATTCTCTGCAGGCTGTGTGAGAAAGCTCTAACTCACTTGGTGAACTATGGATAGGGTTATGCTCGGAGTTTCTCAACATGATAAAATTCTTAATGGGGATATCCACAGAAGAATATAGGCATCTGATAAAGCCCAGCAGATAAATGGGCTGAAGTGGCAATGGACCTATATAGCTGAATAAGCTGACAATGATGAAGAAGAAATATTTTCAAGTAGCAGACTCAGAATGGTAAGCAGAATGCTGGGCGATCATAGATGGAGTGACAACATGGTGAAATAAATAGATGGAGGTGACTCAGAACTATGCTTTGTGGCAATTTATGGGAGAAGCCTATATTCAGTTGTGGACTTATGATGATGATGATGATGATGATGATGATGATGATGATAATGAGATATGAGAAATGTACAATGCCTAAAACTTAACAAAAATATTCCTTACCATCCCACAACCATTTCTGGGCGACCAGTTTGTTTTAACATATCCAACATTTTCGCTTGAAAAACAGGATCTACTGCCTCCACAGACACTCCAGTTCCAGTCTGTGGCATGGCAAACACGTCAATTACGCGAACTGTGTAATCATCAACAAATTCTCCTGTAAACAAAGATTTGATAGAAATTTACTTCTTGTCTTTCTAATAACCATTTGCTTAGACATTTCAGTGATCAATATTACATTTTCTTTTTTATTTGTTGATGAATATAATATCATAAAATTAAATTCATCAATGTAAATATTTACAGATTGAGTAAATAAATTACAAGGTTGGCTATTTAACACTAATGAATTGAAATGAATATAATATTATTTGATACATTCAACTCTATACAAAATTCCTGAAATGTGACACATATTTAATTTTTTTATTATTTCACTAGTACATATCATAAGTCAGCTAGTTGTAGTAGTAGATATACGAGGGCCCCATGGAAGCTTGGCGTCAACTTTAATTTTAAGAAAACAATGAATACAACAAGACTCAATTCCTCCCCGTTTTAAAGCATACTAGTATTCACCTGTTTAACATTTGGTGTTGTAAATTTATTACATTTCGTTTTATTACCATTTAAAAGAAGAGTATTGACATTAAACCACTGTTAAATCAGTTATCTTTTTTTATACAAAAAGTACATTTTATTTAATGTAAAAACAGAATAGGCCGTAAAATGCGAAATAGCAAACCGGTTACAGGTGCTTGCATATCACAATTTAAGAATTGTTAAATTTAATAATTTCATATATTTATGCAAATACATTAAATATAACTACTTTTATAGATTTTATTACATTTAATTTAACTTTACATATTCAATTTAAATTAAATTTAACACAATAAAATCTATTTGAGTACTATTATTCTATTGTTAATTTTTATTATATAATAATAATAATATAGCCTTTATATCCCGAAACAAATAATCCTATCTTATTCAGTTTTATTATAATATGTCTCTGAGTTCAGTGCCTCTTGGCAAAGGCCTCCTCTAACGATTTCCATTGTTCTCTATCTTTTGCAACTCTTCTCCAGTTATAACCCACTGTTAATTTTAATTCGTCCTCCCATCTTTTACGTTGTCGACTTCTATTTCGTTTCTGTTTCTGGGGTACCATTCGGTCACTATTTTGCTCCATTTATCTTGGAGGCATCATAGCATATGATCCGTCCATCTCCACTTCATTTGGTCTATCTTGGTATATCTGTCACACCTGTTCTTGCTCTTATGTATGTGTTTCTTTGCTTATCTATTTTTCTGATTCTTAGCATGCTACTTTCCGTGGCTCTTTGGCAGAGTACGAGCATATCTCTGTGCTGCTTAGAAAGTGCCCAAGTTTCGCAGCCATAAGTAAGGCATGGGAGAATACAGGTGTTAAAGACCCTGCTCTTAATTTTTTTACTAAAATCTGTAGATTTCATAATCTCTTTCAGTGACCAATATCTTTTCCATCCATTGGCTATTCTCCTTTTGATTTCTTTGGTAGTTAGATCCATTAGTGAGATTATTTGTCCCAAATATATGTACTCCTCTACATACTCGAGAGGTTGGTTATTGATTTTTATTTCATATGAAATTGAATTTGATACTAACTTTGTTTTGCTTGCGTTCATTGCTAGCCCGACCTTCTCACTTTCCTTATTTAGGTCTTGTATCATTTGTTCAAGTTTTTTTTTATAGGATAAGGGAGACAAACGAGCACACAGTCCACCTGATGGTAAGTCGATTAAGAGCCAAAATGCAGATGCGTTGTCACCCGTGAGGACTAAGATGGAATGCCTCGTTTCCAGTAAAAAGGGTTTCCGGTTCTCTACACTCACCATACGAAACACAGCAGCGTTAAGCTGCTATTTTACGCTGGTGTTCTGTGAGAGCGTGGTCCTTCCCCGGTCGAGCCGACCCATTCGTGCTACAACCATAATATAGATGCAGCATGGCTCTACCACTTATAAAACTGAGGGTTCTCTTCGAACAGGACAATGTCGTCTGCAAATCGGAGATGATTTAGTCTTCTTCCATCTATATTTAATCCAAATTCGTTCCATTCCAGTTTTCAAGTACAGCGGAGAATAACTTCGGAGACAGTGGGTCACTTGCGCATCACAATTTAAGAATTGTTAAATTTAATAATTTCATATATTTATGCAAATACATTAAATAAAACTACTTTTATGGATTTTATCACATTTAATTTAACTTTACATATTCAATTTAAGTTAAATTTAATGCAATAAAATCTAAGAGGGCTGCACTAAAAGTATCGGGAATAGAATATTTCCACTGTTCCTGTCATATTAAAATCTTTTTAATTGAAAACTCCTTGGTTTAAAAAATCGAATACCATTTATTTATTTAAAAAAAGATTCTCGGTCTTGCCACAAGGTTTTGTCAAACTTGTTTAGTCGTTGAGAAAATGGAATTGACTCGAGAAAATTCAAGAGCGATGATTTATTATGACTTTCGAAGTGTTTTAACACAAAAACAGTGTGTTGACCGGATGATTTCTGCATTTGGTGATGAAGCCCCATCCAAAAACACAATTTATCACTGGTTTGCTGAATTTCAACGTGGATGTGTCAAGCTCAGTGATGATCCCCAACAAGGCCGTCCAAAAACTGCAGTCACCCAAGAAAACGTTGATGCTGTGCGTATGCTGATTGAGGAAGATCGACATGTGACATACCGCGAAATTCAGACAACTTTAGACATTGGCATGAGTCAAATACAAATAATCTTGCATGAACAATTAGGTGTAAAAAAGTTGTTTTCCTGATGGATACCGCATTCGCTCTGTGAAGAGCAAAAAGCGGCTCGCATTACTTGGTGCGTCAGAACTCTCGAAAGATTCCACGCAGGATCCTCAAATGCTGTATACAACATCGTATCAGGTGACGAATCCTGGATATACGCGTACGAACCCGAAGCAAAAAACCAGTCACGAGTTTGGGTGTTCGAAAATGAGTTAAAGCCAACAAAACTTGTTCGTTCACGGAGTATTGAAAAAAAAACGTGTGGCCACGTTTGTCTCCAAAACCGGCCATGTTACGACTATTCCTCTTGAGGGACAAAGAACTGTTAATTCAGAATGGTATGTTAGCATTTGTTTGCCACAGGTCGTTTCTGAACTCCGTAAAGAGAACTACAACCGCCGCATGATCCTCCATCACGACAATGCGAGTTCTCACACCGCACACAGAACAAAAGAGTTTTTAGAGCAAGAAAACATAGAATTATTAGACCATCCGCCGTACAGCCCCGACCTAAGCCCTAATGATTTCTATACTTTCCCTAAAGTAAAGAATAAATTGCGTGGACAGAGATTTTCATCACCTGAAGAAGCTGTGGACGCCTACAAAACGGCCATTTTGGAGACCCTAACTTTCGAATGGAATGGTTGCTTCAATGATTGGTTCCATCGTATGGAAAAATGTGTCAAATTTCGCGGAGAATACTTCGAAAAGCAATAAATACATTTTTAAATAGTAATGTTGTGTCACTTCCTTGATTCCCGAAATTTTCAGTGCCGCCCTCGTATTTGAGTACTATTATTCTATTGTTAAATTTTATTATATTTAGTCCATAATGATTTCTTATATTTACGCAAACACTACATATTGAATAAAACTACTTTTACGGATTTTATCACGTTTAATTAACTTATTTTATATTCCCGATGTTTCGGTAGCTTTCCAGCAACCATGGTCACGGGAGACTAAGGTGATTGATGTCCCAATGTCTGAGTTAACCCAGAGTACCTTCAAACGAAACATGATAAAATCCATAAAAGTAGTTTTATTCAATATTTAGTCCAATTATGGTGAAGAACCGATTTGTAAAACTAATTTCATGTTATGGTTACAGTCACAACTTATTAAAAGTTCACTACTGAACATAGGCCTTTCCTATAGATTACATCTTAGGGTGGATATTTGCCATAATTTTGAATACTAAAACACACTGAAACTGCATATAATCTGCTTGTTTTTTTGCATGTACCAAATATGACACATTGCCATATTGCCTAAATTTCAACTATTTTCTGTTATGAATAAATAATAAGCATCACTCCCAGATTTTTATTAATTTTTCTTTTTATTAGAAATTATTGTGAATTTTGCAAAACTAAGTTTTTTAACATGAATACATCACCCAGGACTCCCATTTGCTGCACCCATTAAGTTTTTACCAAAATTCTTGCATAGTACAGCATTCATATCGTAATTAACTATAAAAAGTGTAAGAACTAAGGCAGCAGCATTCAAATAGAACTTATAAATTTGTGGTTCTTGTCAACAAGTCAGGATAAATGTATTTTTTTATGTTATGGAAGGCCAACAGCTTACAAATCTTAAGTGGCTGCACCATAAATCGGGCGGTACCACCAGTGAAGGACCATGCTCGCATAGAATACAAGAGTAAAGTTACATACATAATACATATAATATACAAACAAAACACTCACGCCTGTCACCTAGAGGTGTAGGCAGAGACTACGGACTTCCATTTGGCATGATCCTGACACACCTCTCTCGCCTCCTCCTCATCCATATACCTATGCATACATGCTCGTCAGCTAAGGGTACACTTAATTTGGTCAATTTTCAATATATCGCCAATTTGGTTGATAAACCTTCGCCTAGGGCGTCCCTTGCTAACTCTGCCCTTCACCCCTTCCCTTCTACAGCATAAATATGCTTTGTCGCTCTTTCCTCATTCATTCTTTCTATATGACCAAACCATCAAACAATTTCTTTCTTAATCCCCATCACAACATCATCTTGCAAACCACAATTTTCTCTTTATCACACTACTTCTCATCCTGTCATTCAGATTCAGCCCTAACATACTTCTTAATGACCACATTTCTACACAATAGACTGTAGATCCCCATTTACTCTATTTCCTGCGTTCACTCATTGTTCTATATCCTTATCATATCTACCACTCCTGCTAAATACACATTCCAAATACACAAACTCATCTACTTGCTCAACCAACTTCCTTTCTATTCTTATTTTACATATCATTTTGCTTTCTTCTCCTTCAAAAACCATTACTTTCGTCTTATTTGCGCTCACTTTCATTCCCCTTTCTTTTAATGATCTGTTCATTAATGTAACCATCATTTGCAACTCAGCTGCCGACGAAGCCAATACGACTTAATCATGGGCGTACAAAAGGCATTTAACGATTAACTCTAGTATGGGTATTCTTAACCCCCATTCATAAAATTTCATGAGATTCATTAAAAAGCGTGAAATTTTTAATATATTTAAGACGACGAACTAAAGAATAATACCTAACATAAGACCCATGACCTCCATGGGTACTCCAGCACGGCCATGTTTTAGCATCTTCAATAAAGCCAGTGAGGAAATGTAGACTTGTTCGGCGGTGTCAACAGCAGGCGCATCAGTAGGAGGCGGTGCTTGCGACAATCCAGTCATTCCTCCACCGAGACGAAGTAGACGATCCATTATGACTTTAAACCTTCCAATTTCTAAAAGAAATTAAAAAAATAATTGACTTCACGAATGTAAATAAATAACGGCAACTTTTATGCATTTATTTTAATTGAAAAGCAGAAGTTTTGACTCACAGAAACAGGTATAAATAGCTTATAATAACTCTATAAAACTTTTATAAAATTTAAGTTTACGTAGACTTCTCGGTTCAGAATCGGTTTATGACATATGATAATTGAAATGAAAGAAAGAAATTGATTGTGACAGCTTACATTGAAAATGCAAGCTCATGAACAGGGTTACAATCTTACAAAATCTGAATGAAGAATGTTTGGGTGGTAATATATCTAATATATTATGATAAAATAATTTTCGAAATAAATATTAATAATAATAATTTATCAGCGTCTGCTTTTCCCTATCATTTATTCAAAGGTAAGTGATTAACTCTGCTCTGTGACTCTTTGATTACAACGTATTCAAAGGGTAGTTTCATCATTTGAACATAATATGCAAATACATGGAGCGATATGGGACATTCTCATTTTTACATTTATTATTGAGGGTGCAAGCGAGCATGCGCATCACCTGATGGTAAGCGGCTACCGCCGCCCATGAACAACTACAACGCTAGGAGAATGGGTCACACCAACATGTTCTAATTTGACAATAAAACCTATATAGCTTTAAAGCTATGTTTATGAAAATAACAATAGTTATTGTTTCATCCAAATTGGTGCAGAAATAGGAAAGTTATAACGTTTTGAAGTTTCGCAATTTTTTTTAATTTATACCCGCTCGTTCTCTGTGACATGACGTCACAATCCGACAGAGCGAACGCGCAGTAGGTACTTGCTAAGTTCAGTACTAACCGCGCGCTCGGAAGTATACGGTCGTTTACCTACATATTATATAGAATGCAGTGAGTATTAATCAACTCGTACTGTTATTTAGTACCTAGTGACACGTGAAGAAATTTTGTTGGTTACGTAGGGTAAGCAGTAGTAATGTTGCCCCCCCCCCCCTTTAATGATTGGCCTCTCGAATGTAAAATCAATATATTAAGAGTTAGCCTTGAGTCATCATCATCATCATCATCATCACAGCCCTTCACAAGTCCACTGCTGAACATAGGCCTCCCCCAAAGGAATGCCACAAAGCATGGTCCTTAGCCACCTGCATCCATCGACTACCTACTACCCTTGAGTACAAGGTAGAAAAAAATTGTTATATTTTTCTTTGATGATAACACTCTAGAACGTAACTGGTAGTTTTAAAACTTAACAGCTTGCAATACTCGAAAAAAAATCACTTTGCAGTGACTACAACTGAAGCAGTGTTTTGTTACGAAAATCGTAAGAAGTAAGTATTTTTATATTGATATTTATCCTTTTTCTTCTTTTTCTAATTGTGAGATATATATTTCTATATTTTAATTACCATTCAATTTAGATTTATATACTATAATTGATGGAAAAATACTCAAGATAACCTAAAAATAAGTAGGCCAAAGTTAGTATCCATGGTTGATATGAGAGATTAATTGATTGACATCCCTGCCAATAATAGTAGTAAGCATTTTAAATTAACTCTAATATTTTAAGCTTTTGATAAATGCTACGGACAACTCCCTTTTAAATAATAATAATCAAAATGTCATAAGATCGCAGTATAGTGCCACCAACTTATCTGTTCAGTTGACAGCGTCGCTAGTGGAGCGCTTACTATTGCCATTTAAGAAATTCACCGAGGAAATAGGTGACTACATATTTATTACACATAATATAAAATAAAACAAATTGCTTGTTAATATATTAAAATTAGTGAGAATTAGTGTTATTATATATATTATTTATATTTTATAAAAAAAATTGTGGTCGTAACCTCGGAGTTCAAGCGGCTGAACTCCAGGAATCTGTATTTTGAAAGATGTACCCGCGCTAGCTACTGGTTCCAATAATTCATCTTCTGAGTCACAGTCATTGGAGTCGCTTTCGATATCGCTCTGACACGCTATAATAAAGGGTTCATCTAAATACGCGTATTTTAGTCTGTATTCATTTTCAAGTTTTTTATATGATTACAAATGTTTTTCCACTACACCGGTGTAATTTTATGGAATGCCTCTTCAATTAATTGGGTCGTTGGAACATAAGATTTACCAACAGTTTTACAGTAGATTGAAATAAAATTTTTACTATGTTTCACAAGTACAATATTTGGTGATTTTAATTTTCCATATCTGGCAATACAAACCTGTCGCGGCAGCGACGCGTTCATACAGCTTTTCAAATGGTATAGTTGGGGCTTGTACACGTTTCATAAAAGATAAAACTTTCAGGATAATCTGTCGCGCATCACGTTTAAGATCTTTAGGCATTTTATTTGCACTTTTTAATAACACTCACCTGATAGCTCAGAATAAATAATAACTGACAGCGAAATGTCATTTACAAAATGGCGGCTTTAGTTCCAATTTTGTCCACCTGAACAGATAAGTTGGTGGCACTATAACTATATTTTGGCGGGGCCAATCATTATACTTTTAGCTATGCTAATCTTTGTACAAAGAGATCTTAAATACGCAGTGATGTACCGATGTCGATACTAAATTATGTATATACTTATTTAATGTATTTTTATGGGTTACATATTAAACGCATGTTTAAATGTCTAATTCTTTGCCTGAACACTTTGGTGAATTTGAGTGTGTCATGTGTTGTTGAATTCAGTTTAATATCATTTAAAACTTTTGAAACTTAAAATTTTTCTTATCTTTTTAGTATAGCATATATATCTGGTTTAGCTTCAAAAATAATTTATTAGTTTTTTTTATACTATAAACTGTTTACTAAGTTTACTGTTTCGTAAGTTCTATATAGTAACTAATAAAACAAGTCAATATTTAATAACACCATTGGGATTTTTACAAAAATAAAAATAAGCTTATGCATTGTTGCAGAAAAATGCCAAAGTCTGCAAAAGGAGAAGTATATAAAAAAAATATACTAAGGAAGATTTAGAAGCGGCAATCCAAGCAATTCAAAATGGTATGTCTAAAAAAGCAGCTTCCAAAGTATTTGGGATAAACAGAAACAGAAACAGAAACAGAAACAGAAACTTTTTTATTCAATATAGATTATAAATAATACTTATTGAAAGTCACTCTTTTGTTTGATTACCACTGGTTCGGAAAAAACCTCTGTCCTGGGAAGAACCAGCAAGAAACCCAGCGAGACTTTTTTTTTAAATAACAGCTTACAATCATGATGTTACACAAATTAACAACACAACAAATTAGAAATAGCTTGGTAGCGATCACCTCATTTCCAGGGGTTATTATCATCCATAAATTCCTTAATATTATAATAACCCTTTTTATACAAACTTAGTTTAATAAAGTTTTTGAACTTTGAACAGGCTAAACTTTGTATATTTTCTGGAATTTTGTTGTAAAAGCAAGGATACTACAAGGATACCCCGAGGAACTTTGCAGTTTCGATTACAAGGGATTTTTTTTAAAAACGAGACCGGGTCCGCCTACAATCCTTACAAATGACGAGGAAAACACTTTGGTTGAGTGGATAATACAAAGCAGTAGAAAAGGTTATCCATGGCGTAAAGAAGATCTATTACAAAGTGTTACTGATTTTCTAAAGAAATCACCTAGGCCAAATAATTTTATAGATAATAAGCCAGGAGAGGGGTGGTACAAGTTGTTACTAAAACATCACTCCGAAATAGTACAAAGAACGGCTGAAGCTGTTACTTCGGCAAGTGCCAATGTATCAGAAAAGAACATCAAAAAATGGTTTCAGCAAATTGAAACTTGGTTAGAAGAAGAATTCCTGCATATTCTACGATTATTATTCAACAATGCGAAAACATTATTGTACTCGCTGATATCCCTAAAGTTTCTATAATCCTACCAAATCAAAAAGTACACGTTTGTTATGACTTTATGCTTTCGAATGACCGTTCAAATTAAGGAGCATCGTCATGAAGAATTTACAATTTGGGAGTCCAAATATTTGACAAAATACATCACAAAGTTCATTAAACGCATGAAATGTTACACTTTATATTCAAAACAATAGATATTAATCAGTACAAGTAGCAAATGTAAGCACAAAACAAACTTACCGATGAAAGGTAATATTATCAATTTTTCGTTGACTGATGCTGTTGCATCCTAAAATGCTACAACTTACCATCTTTTTAACCTTACCAAATAACTAAAACTCACAGACAACACTAAATTCAATTACCTGTTTGCTTATAATATCAATGTTATTCATAAGAGCTTGACATCGTTAATGTCTAATAAAGGAGGGAATACAGTCAAAAACGCATACCTAGAAAAAGACAAGAAATATAGATTTGCTAATCCCTTACTCTTATGTCTAACTATAACTATATACGTGCATTCCTTTCACACACTGATGACGTCACGGAATGTTTAGTCTATAAGATACAAAGTCTATGTTACTAAGGCTCAGCGGGCTAGAACCATAGATAAGCTAATATAATCGGGAAGCTAGAACCCAGAGCCGTAAAGTCAGTTTATTTAAAAAAAAAGGTAGTTACTATTACTAGTCTGCACTAGTCTGTCTGTTTGTGTAATAAATTAACCTATATGTTCAAACTTTGATCATTTCCGTTTAATTAACAAGTTAGTGTATTAAGTTATGATAACTGAAAAGGCTGTTTTATCCGAGAAATATTCTGCGGGTCCTCATGGCTTAGGTAAGTCAGATTGGAATATATCGGCCCTAATAATCTTGTAAATACTATCTACTATAAATACTGATATTTTATTACATCAGGGTTCATTTTTTGTCAATATTTTAGGTGATCCAGAAGACAGAACGTTGAGAAAGGTAGAACTAGAAGTATTAATACCCAAACTTATGAGAGAAAAGGCTAAAACTGAGAAATGCGTACAAGAAGTGGCAGATTTCAATCATTGTTGCATAGAGTCCTCAATACTGATGGTCGTTAAATGTCGAAAAGAGAACTCTGTGATGAAATCTTGTCTATCCAGTTGGTATCAAAATGAAGATTTCAGAAAATTATGTACAGAAGAATATTTAAAAGAGAGGAGTGAATATAGACGATCTGGAATTAAAAAACCTATGAAAAGGGCATAAAATCATTCAAAATAGGGAAGTTATTTGAAATATAAATTTGTTTTAATTATTAAAAAAAGCTGTAATAGTGTAGTTTAAAAGTAAACAATACATGTAATTACTCAATATCATCATTTATTGTTATTGGAATGTTTCTTGACACTAATAGCTCCCGTACACTATAATCACTCAAATCTTGTAGCTGTATCTGGGAACACGTGGTAGGCTTAATAACTTCCGCAATTAACACTTCCTGTAATAAGTAAACATTGTAAATAAAAAAGTGTTTACAATTCCGCAGTGCTATAAAAAAATTCAAAAGGAAAGACTATTAAAACCATGATTTATTGAAACTTTATATAAATGCTTAAGAAACCCATTTGAAGAATATCTCTTAAGACCAAAATAGAATGTTTCTAGATTGCACTTTATATTATAGTTTGTTATTTGTATAATATTTAAGTCTCACAAATCTACAGGATTAAAGATTTTATGTATTATACCATTATACTAAAAATAAAAACTGGTAAAAAGAATTTCATCATTCACAACAGCCTTTCTCAAGTCCATTGCTGATCATTTGCCTCCCCCAAGGAATGGCACTAAACACAGTCCTGAGTCACCTGTATGTCGAGTTGTCACTCTATTTAGTGGGAAGCTACTTTACACAGTAAAAACGAATTAGCTTTATATGTTAAATCATAATTATATTTTCATTAAATTGGGATGCCATGAATGTTACATAAAAAATCGAAACAAGCGCTAATTAACTTCGGTCTCTATTTTCTTGCTTTTAATATTTTTATAGTGTAAACAGGTAGATGAATAAATATAATGAAAATATTTGTCATGCATAATTTTAACCCACTCTTTTCAACACCTGTGCCATGTCTAACATAAGATATCTATGCAACACAGCATAGGTAGAGAAGGAGCAAATATTCGTAGTCGTCTATGATAGTAAACTTGATGAGCATGTAATGGTAAAGACAGAAAATGAGTAAATATTATAATATGAATAAAATGTATCCAGTGCAAAAGATTCAACAATGAGAGTATACATAATCATAGCTTGCTAATGTATGCTTTAAGGTGTGACCTTAAAGCATATATTACCGACAAGAATAATTAAATAATGCCACAGCCTAAATGTATCCCACAGCTGCTGTATACTGATCTCCTTTCATTTATGAGAGGATTATGAAGCAGGTAAATGACCCTTCTTTCATTAATACTTAATGTTTTTATTCCATCCCACCCATTCTAAGACTTCAAAAATAATTATAAATAGGTATTTCTTGTCATAGATACGTTACCTTTACTGTTGTTGAAGCCACTCTAACATGACCTAACATTGTAATGCAGTCATATTTTTCATTAGAATATTTTATTAAAACAATGAAGTCTGCATGGTTTATTCCAGGGCCTTCTTTGTACAAAACTAAAAACAATATAACAAGTGTTTTTATCTCTAATACAATAATAACCATTGCTTGGTTAATCATTTTCATTGATAACTGAAGTAAGATATTAATTTGGTACTCAAAAGATAATAAAGCAATACTGATTACTAAAAATAGCTTTTATTAAGCACAATAAACTTTTATACTATTTAATATATAATATATAAATTTCATAGTACACAAACAACCCGAGTTAGAAACCCGCTGGCACCAAGGAAATTGTTTATAACAATTTTAGGTGCTTATTTACCAGACTTTATATATTTAGCAGTAAAGGACAACTTCTTGAGGAAACTGGCATGTCTAAGAAATTACAACCAACTTTCCAACACACAAGAAATTAACTGAAATAAACACACATACACAAACGCATGTATGCTTGCACACACATGGAGACTAATAAGATTCTTTTTGTTTAATTCTTTATAAAATTTTTGAAAGTTCTTTTTCTTATAGGATAAGGTGACAAATGGGCACAAGGTCCACCTGATGGTAAGTGGTTGCTGTGGCCCATAAACATCGGATATGTACATCTATTTAATTATGAATCAAAATACATATGGTTTAGTCACCCGTGAGGATTAAAATGGAATGCCTCGTTTCCAGCAAAAAGGCTCTCCGGTTCTTTACACTCACCATACAAAACACAGCAGTGTTAAGCTGCTAATTCATGCTGGTATTCTGAGAGAGTATAGTCCTCCCCGACCCATTTGTGCTACAACTATATCAGATATATAGCTGCAGCATCGCTCTTCCACGTATAATTGTAGTATCAAAGATAAAATTTAGATATGGAAGAGCGGGAACCTCCTGGCATAAGTATACATAACCCCAATCTTTGATTGTAATAAAGCAACTGTCATTGTTATAGAAATAAACATTTTTTGATTTGATGCATTAGGGCAGTGAGTCAAATATTCCCTACCATAAAACCGTTAAAAAAAAGAGAGAAAGGCTATGCCTAGCAGCGATATGCTGTAACTACCCAAAACACTTCTGATGGTATACCTAATACATGGTTCACACATTTGTTTATAAAAACCACCCTTCAAACCAAAAAACAACTAGGAAAAATTGTTGAAAATATATAACTTTTATTGCTTGGCTCAATGGTGAAGTCTTACTGTTTAAAATCTTATCTGTCATCATAAAACAAAATTTATGTAATATAATGTATATAATGTATTTGAAAATGTATATAAATTTATATAATGTATTTGAAAGGGACGAAGAGAGAACAAAGTGTGAAATATGGGTAAATCAGGAATGTCTAGAACAGGTAAATGAAATTGTATACTTGGGGAGTGCTTTTAGCCGGGATGGAAGATGTGATTTAGATGTGGACAGGCGTGTCGCTGCCGGGAACAAAGTCAATGGTGCCCTGACTGCGTTAGTCAAAAGGCAAGGCGTAGCGAAGAGTGCACGCCTTGCAATGCATAACGCAGTGTTGGTACCGACTTTGTTATATGGCCGCGAAACCTGGGTATGCCAGAAGAAGCATAAAAGTAAGTTGAATGCAGTGGAGATGCGATCTCTTCGTAAAATGTGCGGCGTTACCATGGCCGACCGAAAGCGAAATGAAGAGATTCGCAATATGGCAGGTTTGAAAGATGACCTTATCACAAAAATTGATAAGGGCGTGCTTCGGTGGTTTGGGCACGTTGAGCGAATGAGTGAAGACCGAATGGTGAAGAAAATATATAGCGCGAAAGTTTAATATTAAAAGGTGTCGAGATAGACCGAGACTAACTTTCGAAGACCATGTGAGCAAATTGCTCGAAGAGGGTAGGGTCAAGAGTACTCGGATACCTAGACGTGCATGCATGAAGAAGATAACGAATCTGAAAGAAGCGAAAGAGGTTTGTAAGGATCGTGACACTTGGCGATCTGTTCTCTCTGGCTACCCCGTCAGGGATTGTGCGTGAATATAAGTATAAAACAAAATTTATTAAAAGTTCCGGTTTATCATAACTGTTTCTTTATTCCCACAGTTTAGTACCTTGTGAATATTTATTCAGTCAATATTTTCATAGCTGTCAAATTATGCTTTTTGAAAAAATAGTCTACAGCTGTACATAATCCTCTCACAGTAGGATTTGAACAAATTTAACACTTAACGACGGATAATTTGCAAATGCAGTACCTATTGATATCTTACAACATTGACATGCCCAATACCAGTCTGGGCATTTTACATCTGGTGTATACAAGGTTATATTGCCATCTACTGGAAGCCATATATTTTAAAAAATCCTATAGTAGCCTCTTACAATATCAATGGGACAAAATTTGGTGATGAATTCTCTTACATCTCAATGGCAAAAGATAATTTCACTAAATGTTTGCATAAAATGTGCAAGATATGTTTCATAGGTTAAAAAAGAAGCAAGATGTTGTTTCAATAAAAAGATTAATTTTTTTCTGTAAAAACCTGGATTGATTTTCCATTTCACATATTATTTTTTACCATGACTGTTAAATTCATTAAGGCATTAAAAAAAATCAAAATTCCTTTACACAAAGTGATTAAGGAGTATTAGCCATGTGTTTGTGTACTGCAATACCCACAGGAAAAGTTCAACATAGTCATTATACTATGTTTGTCGCATTCAAAGGAGTCATAAGGACAGTTTATTTTCTGTGATTTAAGTGCCTTTACCCTATTGGGCTCGACAGCTTCATTTGATACAGGGCTCAAAAGCCAACAATCAGTGTTACTAGCTCATTACTGAATGAGGCTCTGGTCACTGACAAATATCAGTGTATCCAATTTAAAGCACTTGTTTAATGCAGGATTTGAACCTGTAGCCCTGTAGTGCAGCAAACAAATGCTCACTACTCTACCAAGCAGACATATTTATTACTATTGCAATATATTTGCATTTAAACCTACACTAAATTAATCTGTAATTAATATTGCCTCTAATATAATAATCAAATAGTTAATTAAGTTTCATACAAAATAGGAATGGCCACCTATATTTATATGCACTGTACACTGAAATAAATTCTGCATAGTTGACAACATGCTACAGGCAATAAGACAGGACATTTCATACACCCATAATAAGATGCAAATTACTTACGATATTCACCCCCAAATTTAATACCAGACTTCACTATGTACCCTTTAGATCTAAAATAGTGGTACACAACATATTTTTCTATAAAGTATTTATCATTTTTAGTGAATAACTCCCAACACTGTTCTATACTTAGAGCATTGTTATCAAGGCCGAAGATTTGTAAACATCCAAGGCCATATAACAAAAAAAAGCTTTCTTGTGTTGTCAGCATAAGCTTTTCTGGCAATTTAATTTTGTTTATACAACATTTTGGCTTTAAATTTGCAAAGTAATCATCATCTTCAGAATCACTATTTGGCACTATGACTACAATATCTTCTTTATCATGACTGTGAAAGGTATTATATGAGAAAGTTGTATCGGGATCATCGCCATCATCAATTCCATTTTCATCACTAGATACCAAGTCAATCACATCTGCTTGTAAACATTTTTCTGCATCACTTTTTATTTTGGAATTTAGTCTATCAATATCTTTAAGAAATAAATCAGAACTTATACTTTCCTTGCAAATGCCATAATGCTTTTTATACCAGGAGATTCTTTTAAGAAACTGTCTTTTTCTCATTATTACAGGATTATTCTGTGCTATTTTGGGCTTAGATCGTGATGATGACCCCTTGCCAAAGCATCCCATGTGGTATAATAGGGTTACTTCATCAACAGACCTAATCTCTATACCAAAGCCATTATAATGTCCAGTAAATATAATTCGCATAGAACCATCTAGCGGCAAACGCAATGATGACTCAAGTTCCATTAAAAAAGAATTATTTGGGTCATTAATTTGACAGTTTGGATTTGTTTCTAAAGTAGTCATGACAAAGGAACTGGCCAGTTCCCAAAATTTATTTATAGACAAATGTGTCACAGGTCCAATCTCAAATTATGAATCTGTAACACAAAAAGAGAAGTTGTAACCCCAAAATTGATTATGAACCACGAAACAAAATTTTAGCATTAAATATATCGCTTTTACAAAACTATAGAAACATGGAACCAAAAAGACAAAATTACCGCGACAATGACATTGACAAATACAACCGTAAGTAACATTTTATTTCAAAGCGTTTAACGTTTCACGTTTTGTGGTAATTAAATAGGTTAAATAATCGTTTGTTATTAATGACAACGCAGTCTACAGTGGCATGTTCACATTAGAATATATTTTTTCTTCTCTTTGGTTTATAATAAATAAAATACACTGAATAATAGTGTATTTTAGTCATTATCTATTATTATAGATATGAAATTACGGGGCGATGTAGTCATAACATTTAGAGATTATTAAATTCCTTTTAAAGAACAGAATATTATCACTCCTAACGTACAATAAGTACGTAATTCCAGTACTATGTATTAGTCTATGTACGTAATTACTGATTACAATAATTCGAATTATTAAACTCAGCTGATTAAAACTAAAAATTCTTTGATATTTACGTATGTAAACATAATAAATTTTTAATCAATATTTTTGGCTTGGATGCTTGTTCTTTAAGTTTTTTTTTTTGGAGTTTATGGCCTGGTATCTAGACCTTTAGGCCAGGTCTTAAGTATTTTTATTCGGTTTATTGTAATTTCCCCACTCCTTCATAGTATACTGCTTCACAATATGTTGATGCGTCACATTGTGCAGTTCTTGGGAGATTTTGGCGGCAACTTGATCCAGCAGACAGCTGATAGTTGGCGATGGTATCTAAAGGTGCCTATGCAAACAAACAGCTTATCTTGAGAATCCATCACCATCAGAGCACTTGTTTCACTGTTTCCACTAATAGTTCACATGCGTAGACACTTAATACACAAAATCGCAACACTTTTACATATCAAAGTCCACTTCAAACCATTATTTAAACAATAATACAGGAGCAGCAAACCGCCGCCGGTCAATTTCCCGCCAAAACTTTGTTCTTTAAGTTGTTATATAAGAGCACAGATAATAAATTTGTAGCAAGTTATCAAAGAGCAACTGTTTCTGTACAAAGGAAATTGTTGTGTTGTAAATAATAAATACCTACTTCTTTTAACTGCTGACGCCTCCTTTATATTTTTGTAGGGTTTATCATGACTATATCAGGGTTTATCATAATAAGAACACACTAGAAAGGGTGAATTTATGATACCTCGTTTAGACTTTCGCCTCGTACCTCGTCTCGCAGTTCGCGTGTTGTTGTGAGGTAACGAGTGCCTGTTTACACTCTCGCGATGCGGTCAGTTTGCGTTGGGCCAGCAACGATGAATGACGTCGAAATAATAGCGGCATGAACTCTTGCCTTAATAAGTATTTATCGATGTTTGACCATATTAAAAAGAAGGAAATTAATAAAATACGTCGTTGAGGAAGAATATGACGGATGATATCTATTCATCGAAAAAGAACTTTTTCAGTTTCATAATTTTATATAAAAATTGCTAGTACCTATTGTGCAATATTAAATAATATTATTTTAATAAAATTGTAATTTTAAAACAAAAGCAATTCGAATGTTATTATGGAAGGGCGCCGTAAACAAACTGAAACGAGACGCAAGTGTAAACACCACGCTCGCGTCCCTCGCGAGGCCCTTTGCCTCGTGCCCAAAAAACCGCCTCCGACGCGAGCGCCGCGAGTGGCGAGGCGAGCTGCGAGGCGAGCCACGAGCTAGCGTTTACACTCGCGCCTCGTGGCTCGCCTCGCGACTCGCCTCGTTGCTCGCGCGAGAGTGTAAATGTGGTATGACAGATTATACGTTAAATGTGACAAAATATATTATCAATACAAAGAAGGCATGTGCAGTTCTTAATTAGACCATCTCTATTGTAACTGAATGACTGACTGACAGATAAAGCATAACCTAAACCGGTGGTCTAGAGATTTGTAATGAGATGTTCCAAAATGGGTCAGGCCTACGTATACTACCTCAAAAAAGGAGAAAAATCTGTAGTATTCAGAAAATATAGATAAGACATTTAAAGGTATCCTGTCGTGGTAAACAATTATTGTTTATCAATTATTTTTATCGACCTTAAACATGGCGTCTTACCGATTTAGTTACTCTGTGCTTATAGACAATGACAGAAAACCATAAAGCGAGGAGGGGATTAGAATTAACCCCCCTACCCAAGCCTATGAATTTGGAGTATATATGTAAAAAAATATAATTCCAGATGTATTTCAAATAGCACATCTCAAAAATATTAATGATTTAAACTGTACCCATGTAGTTTAGAAATTAAAAATAGTTAAAAATCACTCAACATTTAACGTCGATATTACTTCAAATAATTAGAATTGGGTACTTTTTTTTAATATAAAAAACTGCACCTTGCTTGAATATAATTGCGTCATCAATAAAAATGCATAAAATACTATGATAAGCACAAAATATTATACGAATACGAATTTTGAGTATAATATTTGTATATATATAAAATATATATATTGTATATATATATATATACTCAAAATTCGTAGGCTGGGGTAGGGGGGGGGGTTTTAAATTAGAATATACTGGCGTATAGACGTCATAACAACCCGAAAATGTGTAACCAATTTTGATTTGTCATTGCGTGCGTTAGCTAGTGATGTACATTTTACTTAAGAGGACTATCGAAAAATGATTGTTAAAGAAGCGGTAAAAAGATTAAAAAAATGGTTTAGTGCACAAACTGAATAACTTCAAAAATGTACTGAATTTTTACCTTGATAGTTCTAAAATAATTAAAAAATATTCAAATAACATGTTCCGGGAGATAAGCTGCACCTACCTGTCTTTTGTTGGATTTTAATTCAAAATGTACAAAGTCCCAATAATCTCCGAAGAGATGAGGTACCGATAAACTTTAACAATTTCCTCCAAGAATCATAACGGAAAGTTGTATTTTCAGAGCCTTGACATTTGGAGAAAACTTTACTGCCATGGACAGCTTCCCCGGAATTTCTTTTTTAAAAAAAACGTTAAGCAACTAAATAAGTAGATACTTAATTAAGTATATACATATTTATACTTCATATATTTTATAAAATGTTTTGCTGTTGAAATAAAAAACGGGGCACAGAATACATTATGGCTGCTTTATTTTACAAATAACTTTTACTTTTAATAGTTACAAACATAAAATAATTAATAGTTAAATACATTATAGAAATTAATTTTAACATTCGACTTAAATGTGAATTTAAACTTAATAATTTAAGCAAGGAAATTTGTAGGAATCAGTTGAATAAGATTGCTCTGTTTAAACGCCAATATGTATATGGGGCTACTTTTTCCTTCATCTGTCCCTGAAAAATTATAAGCTTATTATCATTTTAGCTGCAAGAATTTAAAAACATAATGATCTTATACAGACTAGCTAAATACGCAGGAGATATTAAAGTATACCAGGTGTCTGAGGATACAGGTGCACTGTCAATTCTCTCAATTTTCATTCACCCATGGACTGACTGCGACAAGAGCAGTTTAATCTTGCAGATATATTGATCCGCGCAGCTGTTAATTAACCACCAGTTCCTCTTCTCTACGACTAACAATGTAGGCGATGAACCACGCTATCAAGCCCTCGGCACACTCGTTGGGCATCAAGCATAAATCGAGCATCGGACGTTGTGATTATCAAATACTATAGAATTTATACTATCCTGTCACACTGAATCGCGCGTCTCGTGCGTGGGCATTTGGCGGTGCTTAAGGAGGATTACTAAATATGTATCTAACCTAACTATACTAAAAGTTTTATCATTATGACTTGGGAATATAATCCGAAGCTCCGCTCAACTCCTTGGGGAAAAAAGCGTGACGCAATAAATATTGTCATAGTGTGACCGTGAGCTGCGGGTGGTAAGGTTATACATTTTTTCATTTTTTAGTTTAATAGATACTCAGTTGGGATCATATTTGCTTAAATAGGGTAATCTCAAGATTTTTCCTTTTTTAACATACTACAGTTTTATTATGTATAAAAATCTATCTCTATTTTTACCTAAAGATTTTGAAGTACAATTCTTGAATTCTTATTGTAAGAATATAATACTTACTGGTAATGTAAGAAAGGCTCCTTTTAATGAAATTGTTTTTATTCTGCTTTTTTTTTAAATTTTCCAAGAAAATGTTTGCTGCAAATTGTAAAGTTCTTCTTTAGATTCCAACCAACCCGCCCAATTAAGCTTATCCATTTTTTTTATTCTATCCATCTCTTTGACAAACGGCGAAATAAAATTACGTTTTTAAAACGCAAATTGAGCATTTATTTTCATTACATTCCCCTCCTTGTTATGTGGGCAAGTCTATCGTTTCATTATAAACATTCAAGATAAATATCGACATTAATTATGATATAGTTTAGTCAATCCCTAGCGTACATGTATAATATTTTATTCAAAAATGAATTCACCAAAATCATACAAATTATCAACAACGTGACCTCTTTGCAAAATATTAAAATTAATAAAATAATTGGAGTTATTCTATATTTTAAACAGTATATAACATAAATTTTAACCAAAAAAGCAGTAACGACGTCTAGAGAATTTACCTGAGAAATGTGCAACCATCAGGATCATTTCACAGTCACTCACGGAACATGTAAACATTTTGAAAAACTATAAATTTTAGACACTAACACTATTATAATCTACAAAATTACAAAATATCTAGGAGCTTATTTCTTGCGTGCCGACTTGTGCCGACCTGTCATTCAAAATCGGTTACAGAGTTATAAGATTTGAAAGGCAGAATAGCGGTTACGCGACCCCGCCGTCTATTGCATTCTGTATCTACGCTTTTCAGTGACTGAAGTGTCACTTTCGTCTCGTCGGTCGTAATCGTGAGTTCGGTT